GTAGTAGAATCCAAAAGGTAGAGACCACTCCTCTCACTACCAATGCCAATCGTCCTCTTCGTGTCCAGGCCTTGAAAAACACAACGAGTAGGAAAAAAAGGCACACTACATTCAAGGATTTAGTAATGCTACTAATAAATAAAAGGTTAGTAGAAAATTTAGGAACATATAGGACAGATGATAGGGACATCGATGGAGCAACTTAAATGGAGCCGTTACCAGAAATTGAGAATAAAGATTCATCTGCTATCCTAACTTTATCTTTGCCTGAACGAGTATTGTAAGAAGAGAACAAATTGGAAAACTTATCATGTGATCAGATGCCCCTGAATCAATGATCCAAGAGGGACTACTAGATATGGAAGAAGTCATGGATACTTGAGTGAGCGAATGCGGAAGTAGCAGTGGTAGTAGAAATAGGCTCCAATTGTGTCATGAGACATCAAAGGGACTTATTCTCCTCCTTAGAGAAACTTGGAGTCTTTGAAGTAGGAGCTAAAGACATCACAAGAAAGTCAACAGAAGTAGATGAGGATGAGACCTAGTCATTCCTCCACTGCTATCAACAGAAATAAGATGAGCATGAGACCTAGTCACTCCTCCACTGCGAATCACTCTACCTCGCATGGGTCGACCGTGTAGCTTCCAACAACTCTCTTTAGTGTGTCGTGATTTGACACAATAGTCACAATCAAGTCTATCTTTGTCATCAGGAATAGGAGCAACAAAAGACAATTATCACGACCCTTAGTGATTCCTTTACCTACTTGCTGAGAAGCAGATGCAAGAGCAGATCTCTCATGAACTGATGATTGATGAATAACATTTCTTCTGTTGTCCTCACCTTGAACATAAGCAAACACCTGATTAAGAGAAGACAGTGGATCACGGCCTAAAATTCGAATGCGGATTGGATCAAACTCTGTATTCAGTCCAGCTAAGAACTCAAAAATACGCTCCTATTCCACCATCTTTTAGAATTTATGGGCATCCTCAGGATAATCAGCCTAAAACACCTGATACTGAAGCAACTCCTGCCATATCCCTCGCAAAAAAATGTGATAAGTTGCTAAAAACAGGGCTCTCTGCTTATGCTCATGGACTCTATGCTTCAAGTGATAAACTTGAGCAGCATTATGCATCTAGAAATAAGTCTGGGCAACAGCATCCCATATCTCCTTTGCTGTCCTCAATAACAAATAACCATTGCTGATCTCAGGTTGCATGGAATGAAGGAGTCAGGACGTAACAGTAGAGTTCTTCGCATCCCATTTAGCAAAAATGAGTATATACTCTTTGGTTCAGCAACACTGCCATCAATGTAGCCCATCTTCCATTTGCTCTTAATAAAGCAGAGTGCAGAATGGGACCATGCATAATTAGTGCCAGCAAGTTTAGTGACTTGTAGTGTAGGTTTCTGACTTTGGGTGCTAAATTGACCCAATACACCACTACCAGAGCTACAAGAATCTTGACTAACCTCTGACATATCGACACCACAGGCCTAGAAGTCCAACATAACAATAACAACTCCAAAAAAATGATGCCACTGCCCCAAAAAATACTGCACAGTCAAGCGACTCAAGCCAATAGTGAAAACACTGCACATTCAAGCAAATAATGGAGAACTACCCCAAAAAATAACAACTCAGGTCTTGACTAATCTGAATATCTTCAACTACAATCAACCTAAATCCAAAAACAAGCAGAACAAGTATCAAAAGGACAAAAAAAGTCACCTGTACAGTGGAATATGCCACTGCCGACCACCCTGGAGCCACTTTTCTTAAACAAATCAGCTTTAATGGCCGTTCGGACCCCCTAGTGTTGATCGGTATAAAAACAACTCCCGTAGAAATTTATACATCACAGTTTTAGGGCTTGTGAAAGAAAAGAAAAGAAAGGGAAAAAGAGAGTTTGAAAAGAAGTGGAAAAATCAGTCCTTCATTCCTATCATCCTCTCTGTTTATGTTGGTAAGAATATTAGGAAAAATTGCATAAATACCCATTATGTAGGCATTCCAACAGTAACATTCTCTAGCCATTTTTTTTAATGTGGGGATTTTGTACATTTTTTGTTAGCATTTGAAAATTATTGAAATTTTATGCATATTGTCTTCAGAGAAAACTGGTGATTCCTCTGTTATTATGATGGCTTCGAGCATTTGTGCACTGATACTTGACTCTACATCTGAAGAGGCTCTTCTATATCATCCTAACTTTGGCCGTGGCAATCTAATTAGTCTGTCTCATCTCATCATGAGAAGTTTGGCTAAATGTGGTCAGGTAACCTGCATCATGTTTGTTGAATCACATGATCTGCTTTTAGCTTCCCCCCCTTCCTCCCTCCCTCGTAAATAAGCTTGACTGTTAGCCATAAATATGATGTGTGCTTTACAGAAAGAAAAGAACTTGGTTTTTTATTTATTTTTTTGTGTGTTTTTTTTTTTTTTTTGGGGGTGGGGGGTTCAATGGCTTAATTACTGACTCATATTTAGACATAAATTTACGAGCTGTATAGTAAAGTCGGTTGACATTTGGATCATTTTCTGAAGTTGGTACGGATATGTACTTTTAGTGTTTTTCACCATCTATGTCAATCATGTGTGGGAAGGCCAATTAATGGGAAGCATTTAATGCTGCAACTTGATTATGATTGGTCAGATCAAGGTTCAATTCGATCGAAGCTTGAACTAGTATAGGTCACATTTTGATGGAATAATGCATCTCGTGGCATATTTTTCTTTTCCAATGAACTACTGCAGCGTCCATGGAGTAGTTACGAGTAAAATATCGTCGAGAGAAATTTAGAATAAAATAAAAGTAGTTGAATTTTTTGAAAATAACACGATTCTATCTAGGTGTTTGTATTTGTTAAACCAGTAATTCCAAATCGGATGGGCAGGGTCTTGTCAAAATTTTGTAGTTAAGGTTGTGTTAGTACAGGAAAATGCTTGCATGATATTTTGCTCAATTTAACAATGATCATTAGTTTTGAAGCCTCACCTTTCCTGGGCTTCGGTTGACACTTCAATCTAAACCTAATCCTATGCTTACTTCAACACAAGCTTGGCTATGGTTACATTAGGTTCAGGTTTTGCTCGGTCCAACCCAACTGATTTACATCTAGAAACTTTTAAAAATATTTCTTTAGACATTTTGAAGTTTGAACCAACAAGTTGCTCCCTTTCTGAATCCAATTCAGGATATGGTGCCTGATGATGCTGAGGCAGAAGCAGATCTTCACGAGATTGTTACCTCAGGTATGTTGATCAATTTATGTTTTCATGGAGGTTCTAATGTTTTCCTTGCATTTTCTAAATTTAATCATTATAGTTTTGAGGTGGTCTTCAGAAGTAGTTTAGTTAAATGGTGATTTGTTAACTGTGTGAAGGATATTCTCGTTGGGCTGATCGGTTTCCCCACATCAAAGAGGCGGTGGAGAGATAGGCTGATCCTTCATGCCTTGAATGTGTTTGATTGGTGGTTACTGGAAGAGGTAGCTCAACTTGGGAAGTTCCTTTAATTGTACAACGTTCATTCTCTTTCAGAAAGGAAATTCTCTGTAAAAGCGCCCTCCGGTCAAGGAATTTGATTGACTTTCAGCATGAAAGAGCTAACCAGCTGGGCAGTGAAACTCTTCTAGCTGTTTCATCCAGTCTTCAGAACGAGACATCAAATGACGCCTTCCAAACAGATTACCGGGATGCAAATCATTAAGTCTCTCGTAAACACTCATCTGATGAGTCTTGATTCGCAGGCTCTCCTAATCACTCATTTGACGAGTCTTGAGAACGAGACATCAAATCTGCCTTACCGGCTTTCGTACTTTATTCTCTATCTCTCTCCCATACTCCCCTTCCCTCTAGAACAAGCAAAATAACCAACCCTCACAAGGTGCTGTGTTTTGTAATTAGCTGTGATGCTATTGATTCATATACCCAATTTGCACAGAATGATTCTCTGTTAGTGCTCCTAGGACAAAATGCATGTGGTTAAATGTATCGTATTAGTCTTTTTTTTTTAACAATGCAGCAATGCTCTTTAAGAAATTTTGACCTTTTGAGGTTTGAAATCATTTCTAAACCTGTGCCAGGATCCATATAGCTGTACTATTTGACAGGAAGCTAATTGGTGAGGATGCTGGTACTCGGGAGTATTTCTGGGTCTTAAAGCTTTGTTTCGATATATTAGAAACGAAGATGCAATGGATGGTTGCAAATGAAATGTGGGAATTGTCCAAATAAATTATTGCTTTAAGAACTTAGGAGATGAATCAGAAGGGGTTTGTTCCGGAAAGTTGATTGAATATTTGTACTCCTACGTTTTGAACAGCATGCAAATGCAATTATACATTACTGTTGTTCTAAAATCTGTTGGAATCGACAGATATATATCAATTGATAAACAATTCAAAAGTGTTTTTAGAACTTAAAGTATTTAAAAAAAAAAAATTAGTGTTTTAAACTAGCAAACCACCACCACCTCTCTCTGTCCCACCACTACCACCACCACCGTCACCCCACTACTACAATTACCGTCACCACCATCATTACTACCACCACTGTTATCGTTGCTATCATCATTATTGCTACTCCACCATCACCATCACCTTCACACCCACTGCCACCACCACCATTACCGCTGTCGATCACCAAAATTACCATAAAAACCACCATCCCCACCACCACCACTACTGTGCCACCCTACCACCACCATATGAACCCCACCATTAGCACTACCATCACCATCCCACCACCATCACTACTGTCACCGTCGTCTCTCCACCCCCACCAACGCCACCGTCATTGCCCCAACACCATCCTCATGCCACCTCCAATGTCACCCTATCACCATTGTCATCCACCACTGATTGTTACCATCGTCGTCCACCACCACTAACTATCACCATTGTCATCTCATTCTTATACTTACACCATCGTTCCACTATCACCATCATCCCACTACCACTATTGTTGTCCACCATTACACAATATTGCAACCCACCACCAGTTACCGTCGCCCACCATTATCATTAACCATTGTTACCTATCCCCACCACACTTACCACCACCACCGTAATTTGTCACCATCCATCACATTGCCGCCTAGAAGCACTCGTCATTGTTCACCACCATCATTGTCACCGCCCACCACCACTACCGTCTTCACCCCACCACCACTACCACTACCAACCACCGTCACTGTCGCCCACTACCACCACCGTTGTCATTTATAGCTGCCACTACCATCATCTTCACCCAAAATCCACCACAACCATCACCATTGCCGCCCATGACTGCCACCATCACCACAGTTGTCACTACTTACCACAACCATCACTATCTCCCACCACCACCACCACCACCACCACCACTATCACCCACCATCACTACCACCTCTCACCCGCACTACAATCGGTGCTTGAATTATGTTTTATCTCCTCTATGTTTGTGATTTAATTTTGAGTGTGAATACAAATATATTTATTGTTAATCACTTTTTTATTCCTCGGTATTTTCAGACACGGACAATAACTAGTATATAAATAAAGTATCCATTTTTAAATCATACGAAGGTTGTATTATACATAAAAGTACAATACAATTCAAATTTTAAAAAATAAATAAAATGAATTTTATTTTTTGTGGTTGAAATTTCTTTAACTTTTACTTTAAAGTTAATTCGATGACTAATATTAACACCCTAAAATTAATAAGAAAAATAGGGTGCTAAGGATGTGTTTGAGGTGACTTTTTAAAAATGCTTTTAGTGCTTATAACTTCTCATAAATACTTAAAAAAAATAATTTTCTGCCTCATCACTACCACCCCATCACTACAACTACACCCCACCACCCCCACCATCACCACTACCATCATCACCACCATCGCCGCCATTCCATCACTACCTTTGCCATAACAACCACCACCACTGTCGCCACCCCACTGCCACCACCACACCCACCATCACCACCGTTGTCGCCACCCTACCACCCCCACTGCCACCACCATTACCACCACCACCACCACCGAAACCACCCCATCACCATCTTTACCACAACAACCACTACTACCACTCCCATCCCCATCACCCTCATCCCATTCCCGCTGCCCCACTGCCACCCCTTCCCCACCACCACCATTGCTACACACACGAATTGCTTTCACTATCGTCCACCGCCACCACCCATAACCATCGTCATTTTATTCTTATATTTATTACCACTACCACCATCATCCCGTTACCATCGTCGCCCACCGTTAGTACCCACTACCACCATTGTTGCCCAACACCACCCAATATTATAAAACCCGGGTAAATTTAAACTTTTATAAAAAAATATGGCAAATCAGTAATTTGTTACTACAGTACGGGTTGAAAATTTAATTTTTTCTAGAACTTGAATGACGAAGCAGACCTCACTGTTGGATTCGTCTCACGAAATCTAATTATCTAGTCAATTTTTATCGAATTTTGAGGCAGTCAAATTTTCATGTTTTACGAGACAATCGAGGGTCGCATGACCTAAAAATGAGATGTGAAATAAAATTTTGAAAGTTAAAAAATAATTTAAAGGAAGTTCATATAAAAATATTTTGAACTTTAACCAGGACAAAATTTAATCGTTTTGAGACAAAAATTAAACCCAAAAAATGGAGGACGCGTGACGCAACGAGGGCCAAACATTTCAAAGGGGACATAAATAGGGGAGAAAATCAGATTTTTTCCCCCAAATTTTGGCTGAGTTTAGTTGGAGAGAGGAAGAGAGGGAAAAAAGAGAAAAAATCCAACTTTTCTCCACGATCTACGGAGTTCCTTTGGTCAGAATTCTTCGGGTCAAGTATTAAAGTTGATTTACACGACAAGGACTACACTTTCATATCAAAAAGGACGGATTTCACCAAAATTTTCGAGACGAGATTTTGAAAAATCAAGGGTTTGATCTTGGGTTGTATTCTTGAAGGTTCTACCGTTGCTTTTACGCTTCAAGAGGTAGAGTTTTCTCCCTAATTAGGCTTATTTCTAACCTAGGAGGATTATATGGAATGGGTAGGGTGTTAGAGGTATATAACACTTACCTATTGTTGTTAATTTGATGAATACTAAAAATGGGTAAAATCAATTCTAGCTTAAATTGGTATTTAAAAATTGCTAGCTTGTAATTTTTTTAAAAAATTGTGATATGTGGCATGCTATGTGTTTATATTATGCCTTGGAGAACTAAATGTGTTAATTGCATGAGATTACGTGATAATATGCTTGAAAATTATTGTTGGGTATAATGTTGATACATGTTTGGTGATGTATTGCCATTAAGATGATTTATAGTAATTATATGCATATGATATAATTGGCCATGAAATATATTGAAATGTGGTTGAAATGGTTCATACGACACTCATAACATATTGAACATGAAATTAGTGTTGTAATTGTACATTTACATTGCATATACACGGGTAGCATCACATTTGTGAGCGTTTGACATTAGTGTAGGTGTGTGTATGCATGGTTGATCAAACACCATTCTTGGTGGATGATTCGTGGGCTCAGGATAATTGGACCGAAGTTCGAGTGAGTCACACGGTTTGCATTGAAAATTGGGTTAGGGTTAGCAAGAAAGGCTGGACTGTTCCTCAGATGCAAGACCCGGTGATTCAGATACGCACTCTGTTGGTATTGAGTCCATAAAGTGTGTTAGCGTAAGCAAAGCCATTGGTAGAAGTCCATTAATGTCGTGTCGGTTGGGTGCCTATTGGTGTGAGTCCATAAAGAGGACGTGGCCGAGGATGTGGACGGAACAATAACCAACCACCACCGGCCTTTGACCAACAAGACTTTATGGAGGCTATTGGCACTATGACAGCTACCTTTGCACAAGCTAGTGCCAATGTGGGCCAAAGAGGCTCAAGTAACCTCCAAAAGTTTAAGGCACACAAGCCACTGACTTTTATGGGAGGGGCAAATTTGATAGTGCCCGACCATTGGTTCCAACAAGTCAACAAGATCTTAGAGACTATGGAGATCACCTCTAACACCACTAAGATAAGGCTAGTTGTATTCCAGCTAGAAGGAGAGGCCCATCATGTGTGAGGGATTTGTGCTTAGAGGTTGAGACCTTGGAAGAACCATTGCATGTGAATTCTCCCCTAGGAGTCATGGTATGTATTGATCAGATATGTCGGGAATTGTGAATTAGAGATCTAAGGAATTCTATTCACTATGGACCTTAGGGTCATGAACATGTTAGAGTTTGATATCATCCTTGGGATGGACTGGTTGGCAGCGCACCGAGTTATCATTGATTGTAATAAAAAAAGGGTCACTGTCTACACACTGGAGGTGTTTGTTTCAAGTTTCAGGGGGAGAAACATGATATTTTACCCCAAGTGATGTATGATTCCCGTTGGCACAAGCAGTTGATGGGCTGACTTGCGAGCCTTACC